CAACTCCTGGGCTCAAGCGAGTCTCCTGCCTCCGCCTCCCAAGTAGCTGGGACCACAGGCGCCCGCCACAATGCCCGGCTATTTTTTTGGTTGCAGCGTCATTGTTGTTTGGCCGGTCCAGGCTGGGGATTCGAACCCGCCACCTTAGGTGTAGGTGGCTGGCGCCTTAGCCGGTTGAGCTATAGGCGCCGAGCCACCTTTACATATCTTTAATTGCTCCCTTCTAAAAAGAAGCAAGCACCACATATTCTTAGTATTTTACACATGGTAGATAAAATACAACAATTTATTGAATAGGAATAATAATGATGGTTGCCATTCATTGAGCATGTAATATGTACCAGATACTGCGTTGTTCTACATTCATTATTTCAAAAACTTATTCAATAAACAATAAGACAAATTTCCTCTTGATGGAAAAAAAGAACTTTGTAACCACTATCTAATTTTACAGAAATAAAATTAAAGTTACAAATGGCCTTATTTTTTAAGTTCAAAAGCTAAAGACCATAAAGTCTTCATGGGTCAATTACTGAACACCTCTAGCGTCCATAAATCAAGCTTCTATTTGGACTACTCACTAAGTTGTTCTTTTAAAGAGATTTAATCATTAACAACTGAGATCACAAAGTTTCTGCATCAGGACCCTTAGGGCAGGTAAGACATTCTGAGTGAAGTTAACAGAAAAACTAAGACACAGCTAATACACTTACCTCTATCTCTGCCAGTTGAGAGACATTTGAAAATTACCATCCTCAGATCTAGTCCTTCTTTAAGCCAGATCTTATCCATAATCTTTATCATCTGTAAAGCTAACATATCTTGCCTAAGATCTTCACCAACCTTGAAATCAAGGAAACAAAATGAAACTGGTAGCTTTCCAAAAGACTTAATGGATTACATACTATAAAAACTGGGGATGGAGGGCAGGGAAGGTAGGAAAGAGTGAGGACTGAGATGAACAGAACTGCTGCAAACTGCCTTTGTCTTGCAGAATTCTGGAGAGATACATAACCTCTTCATGTCTCAGCTTCCTGAGTACACTGTAAAAGGTTAAGCTTTATGGTATGCTAATTATATTCAATTTTTTATTTCAGGTTAATGTGAGGGTACAAACTAGCTTACAATGTTTACATTTGTTTGGTAAAGTCCCTCTTGTAGTTGTGTCCCACACCCAAGAGGTGTGCTACATACGCTTACATTGTGCCCAGAAGTGGGAGCACACCCTCCCCCTCCCTCCTAATTGAACTGAACTGAATTTTTCTCTTGTGTGGGCATGTATCAGATTGTCTGCTGGCTTCATATTAGTATCAAGTACATTGGATATCTGTTTTTCCATTCTTGTGATACTTTCAAGAAGAATGTGTTTCAACTCCCTCCAGGTTAATACAAAAGGTGTGAAGTCTCCATATTGTTTTACCGCTGAATAGTATTTCATGGTATACATACACCACAGTTTGTTAATCCATTCCTGGGTCTAAAATGCCATTTTTAAAAAAGTAACTTATTTTGCTCACCTTAAACATAACATTAATTTCTTCTCCCATAGGGTCAGCATTCACCATGGTGACTTTGAGGGGCACAGCATTAGAACTAAAGAAGGAACATGACTGCAAATACAACATGTTAAGTATTAGAAAGATAACACTGAAATAAAAATGGGTCTAGATTTTTTTTGTCCTAGGCATTTGTCCCCTTTTGCTTATTCCTTTAAATTATGACATTCTGAGTTGTTTTACTCAGAATAAATAACACAAGAGAACTGCTTTTTATATTATTTAGCAGATAATAGGTATGTAAAAATACTTTTGGAAACTTTAATGTAAGCATATATTTTTCTAGGCAAAGAAGCAAAAACTTTAAAATTTGAGACAAAAATGTTTAAAGCTTGAGCTTTTTATGTGTCTAACACCTCAATAGAACATAAAGTCTTATGTTCTTGTCTTGTTTCTTATCCTTCCTTTAAATTATTGTGATCTAATATAAGATCTATATTTTTTTTTTTTTTGAGACAGAGCCTCAAGCTATCCCCCTGGGTAGAGTGCTGTGGCATCACAGCTCATAGCAACCTCCAACTTCTGGGCTCAAGCGAGTCTCCTGCCTCAGCCTCCCAAGTAGCTGGGACCACAGGCACCGGCCACAACACCTGGCTATTTTTTGGTTGCAGCCATCATTGTTGTTTGGTGGGCCTGGGCTGGATTCCAACCCGCCACCTTAGGTGTACGTGGCTGGCGCCTTAGCCACTTGAGCCACAGGCACTGAGCTGAGATCTCTATTTTAAGGTACTATTATAATCAATTAGCCATAGAATCAAATATTTATGAGAGTAACAATTTCTGGGAGGCCAAGGCAGGTGGACTGACTGAGCTCACAGGTTCCAGATCAGCCTGAGCAAGAGCAAGACCCAGTGCTTGCTCTAAAAAATGGCCAGGAGGTACGGCAGGTGCCTATAGATCCAGCTATTCAGGAAGCTGAGGCAAGCGAATCACTTATGCCCAAGCAATTCCAACCTATGGAAAGTTGGACATTGCTGTGAGCTATGATGCTACAGCACTCTACCCAGGGAAACAAAGTGGGACTCTGTCTCAAAGAAAAAAAAAAAAAAAGTAACAATTTCATTAGCAAAAATCAAATCTTCTTTGAAAGTGAAACTGACGATAAAAAGATAAGAGTGAGAACAATTTAACAGAAAAATGAAAAACCCAAGGTAGTAAAAATTTTCTATTTTTTCTTTCAGGAATTGTGATTAGGTAAAAATATAGTGAGATAAATATGGATCCTAATACAAACAGACATCCATCTGTACATACTTTGCCTTAAGCACATCTGCCCATTCTTCTTATATATTACTTTGAAATGTAATATGAATTTACAAGTATTGTATGTGTCACCTTAATATTTAATTCTTTTGCCACTAGGCTTGGCTTGAGAGGTAGACGGCATTTATTTCTCAGAAAAAAGGACTGTACTCGTTCCATACTCCTTTGAAGGACAACCTATGGAAAGAAATTGATATATAAGTACATAATAAAAATGAAGATCTATTTTTAAGACAACAAATTATGCTGTGGACACAATTTATAAAATGCTCCACTGTCACATACTCAAAAAAAGTTGTTGCTCAATAAAGAGTTAATTTTTACTGTAAAGTAACATTAGGATGGCCAAAGCTATAAATGGGGGGGAAAGTCATATGGCCCAACCAATGTACATGGAAATGTTCAGCTCACTAATAATGAAATAGAAAGTAAACAAAATTAGTTGCAATTTTCCATCTGTCTGATGAAAAATCGAGACAACATCCAGTGATAAAAGATAATTTGATAATCTGTTGGTGAGGACAGACGTATGTAAGGTATGGATGTTTTTATGGGGATAGCTCACATAAGCTACTATAACTAAAAATGTATATAGCTCTCAACTGAGCTGTTTCACTATTGGAATACACTATAAATAAATACTAACAAATGGGCAAAAACTTACATACTACAGTTCATTGAAGCACTGTTTTGGAAAGGAAAAATGTGTAAACAACTTAAACAGAGTTAATGGTTCATAACTATGGCTCAAGGCTATAATCCTAACACTTTGGGAGGCAGAAGCAGAAGGATCGCCTGAGGCCAGGAGTTCAAGATCAGCCTGGGCAACAGCAAGACCCTGTCTCTACAAAAAAAGAAAATTAGCAGGGCATGGGGATCACTTGAGCCCAATCGTTTGAGATTGCTATGAGCTGTGATTATACCATTGCATTCTAGCCCAGGCAACTGAACAAGATCCTATCTCAAACAAAACAAAACAACCCCCCTGGAAAAAGCCCCATATGATTTATGCTATAATATTTTATAATACTGTATATGGTATTAAGAAACTAAGGATAATTATATGTGCTAACATGAATTCTCTAAGGTAAAGCAAAAAAAAAAAAAAAAACCTTCCATTTTCATGAACTAGAAGACTTAATATTGTTAAAGTTGCAATATTTCCCAAATTAATCTACAAATTCAACACAATTCTCACCAAAATTGCTACTTGTTTTTTTCCCAGAAATGGACATACTGATCCCAAAATTCAATGAAATTGCAAGAGATCCCTGAATAGCCAGAACAATCTTGAAAAAGAATGAAGTTAAAGGACTCATATTTCCCAATTTCAAAATTAACTATAAAACTATGGTAATCAAAACACTATAGCATAAGGATAGACACACAGACAAATGGAAAAGAATTGAGAGTCTAGAAATAAACTCACTTACACAGTCAACTGTTATTTGACAAGGGTGTCAAACCATCCATGAGGAAAGAATCTCTTTAACAATTGGTGCTAAGACAACTTGATAACCACATGAAGAATGAAGTTGGACCTTTACCTTCCATCACATACACAAAATTAATTTAAAATGGACCAAAACCTAAACTTCAGTGCTAAAACTACAAAACTTTTAGAAGAAAACACAAATGTACATCTTTGTATCATTAGATTTGATGGATTCTTAGATGTGACATGGAAAGCATGAACAAATTAAAAAATTTTGTGCATCAAAAGATACTACCGAGAAAGTAAAAAGACAACCCTCAGAATGGGGAAAAATATTTCCAAATAGTATATCTGATAAAAGTCTGACATTCAGAATATATAAAGAACTCTTACAACTCAACAAGAAGATAGTTCAGTTTAAAATGGGCAGAATATTTTTGAATATTCAAAAATTTCCAAAGATATGCAAATGACCAAGAAACACATGAACATGTGTTCAACATCATCAGTCATTAGGGAAATGCAAAACAAAACCACAAAGATACCACTTCACACCCATTAAAATAGCTATAGTAATAAAAAGAGAAAAAAACAGAAAATAAATTCTGGAGAAGATGTGGTGAAATAGGAAGCTCTATGTATTGCTGGTGGTAGTATAAAATGGTACAGCTGTTGCAGATAATAGTTTATTGGTTCCTCAAAAAGTTAAGCACTCAATTACCCAGCAATTCCATTCCCAGGTAATGTAAAAACAAGCAAACAAAAATTTGTACGTGAATATCCATAGCAGCATTATTCACAGTAGTCAGCATTGTTCATAAAAGGAAACAACCCAAATGTTCATCAACTAATGAACAAAATGTGGTATATTCACACAATGGAATGTTATCCAGCCATAAAAAGGCATGAGGAATTTAAACATACAAGAACATAGATGAGCTCCACAAACATCATGAGGGGGAAAACTGGACACTAAAAGGCACATATTACATAAATCAGTTTCTGTGTAGCCAAAAAGAGTAGGCAGATTTATATAGACAAAAAGCAAGTTAGTAGTTACTAAGGGCTGGGAAGAGAGGGAAATGAGGAGTGAGTGGTTAATGGGCACATGCTTTTCTCTTCGGTAAGATTAAAATATTGTGGAATTAGATAGTGGTCTAATACGATGAATGTACTGAAAGCCACTGAATTGTAAACTTTTCTTTATCTTTCTTTTTTTTCTTGAGACAGAGTCTCAGTTTGTTGCCCTCGGCAGAGTGCCATGGCATCTGTGGCGTCATAGCTCACAGCAACCTCAAATTCTTGGGCTCAAGTGATTCTCTTGCTTCAGCCTCCCAAGTAGCCACCACAATGCCCAGCTATCTTTTTAGAGATGAGGTCTGGCTCTAGCTCAGGCTGGTCTTGAACTCTTGAGCTCAGACAATCCACCTGCCTCGGCCTCCCGAAGTGCTAGGATTACAGGCATGAGGCACTGTGCCCGGCCTGAATTATACACTTTTAAATGGTTAAAATAGTGAATTTTTATTTAAGGTGAATTCTACCTCAACAAGAACAAGTATGTGTATATGTATGTGTATAAAATGCAATTCAGTTTCTGTAAAACCTCTTAAAATTTGTATATCCAAGTATACACACGTAAAGTCATAGAATTATCAGGAGAGACATACAGCAAACTATGAACAATAATTACCTGCAGGGGAAACTGGAAAAGTGAATTGAAAATGAGAAAAATCTTCATTTTTTATTCCATAAACCTCTTCATCATCTGGATTTTTTAAAAAAATTAGCACTAACTCATACTTTCATGACATTTTTAATTACAAAAAATTTAACAACAATATAGTGAAAAAGAACTTCAAGAAAATGATTTTGATTAGAAAGGAAGGAAATAAGCATGGAAATTAAAAAGCACTGATTTTCTGAGTTAGTCAAATATTTTCCTATATATTGTAAATAAACCTTTGAATTTATCTGCCCCAATAGCATATGTATCGTTAGAGTGCTGCTGGGAATCTACTGAGAGAAGAACAACTCAATGAGTCAACAACATAAAGATACCTTAACATCAAAACATTTACATTCTCTTTTATGGATACATACCTGTCTGGCTGATCCACTAGCCTGCCTTACTTTTTCTGCTACTCCTCCTAAAAGCTGCACGAGTTTCGTCTGCTTTAAAAGTTCTTCTCTGAGTCCTTTTCCTCCTACTGAGAGGAGAGCACCCAAGACATGTTCATAGCGGGTACCAAACTGTGCATCATGCAGGGCATCCTTAAGAAGCCTAATACAGCAGAATATTTGTGTCAGCCACTTCTGAGAACTCGATGAAATTCTCTCAAAAAATCACTTGAACAAGTTCAGTTTTTGATTTCTAAGAATTTATTTTGAGCTATCTAAGCAAGTAAAACCTCATCCATGATTGGAGAGCTGTATAATATGACAAATACTTTGCAACAGGTTTTATTATTTTTGGTTTTATTTCTGAAGACAAAATAACGCCTTCCCTAAAACACTTGGTATCCATAGTAAGTATTCTAGGCATACCACTCAACAGAGTATGCTATCTGTATAGATAGATTCTAGGAATGAAAATAAGATACTTAATACAGTTTAAATCTTACCAATATAAATTGTGGGCTATCTGGATATTTCCCAATGCTCTGGATAGAAGGAAGCGCACTAATGAACTATTCAAGTAAATTTCATATTTCAAAGCCTATGTGCAAAGGAGAGTAAGAATTACTAGTAGTCAGACCCATTAATTGTCTGGATCAAATTATCAAAAGAGAAAGTATATAAATGAAGTATTGCCAAAGATGATATTTATAAAAATGAAACAGATGAATTAACTTAGGCCAAATTAATGAAAGTAGGCACAAAAGTGTAGACTTAGGGATAGTTTATTAGCTATGTCTAAGTGACCAGTAAAGAAAAAGTCAAGGAAAAACTAAAGTTTTGTTTGTTCTGAGACTCTGAAAAGTCTGCAAACTGAAAATTCAGGTACCTATATATAATATTCAAGTGGGGAAGATGACAGCAATGGGGAAAGAAAAAAAAAAAATCACACTAAATCCACTCACAAAACCCCTCAATGTTCCTACACTACAAAACCACTTTCAATCAAAACAGAAGTTTGAAGTTTCACCAAGTTTTCCTCAAAACTGGGGGTGCAGGGCAGAAGTAAAAAACTCACTTGAACAAACTGTGGAAGAAGATCTGTTAGCTCATCATCACTAATGGCTTCAATCCAGGTCACAGCTAGCGATCTCACTTCCTGATCAGCAAATCTACAAGGAGAGGGAAAATACAATCTCAATCTGTATTTCTTGAAAATATAATCTCAATCTGTTCCTGACAAAGAACATTTAAATAGCTCTTTATTAAAAAACAATGTTTTGGCTTGGTGCCGGTAGCTCAGTGGCTAGGGTGCCAGCCGCACACACTAGAGCTGGTGGGTTTGAACCTGGCCCGGGCTTGCCAAACAACAATAAAAAAATAGCTGGGTGTTGTGGTGGGCGCCTATAGTCCCAGCTACATGGGAGGTTGAGGCAAGAGAATCACTTAAGCCCAAGAGTTTGAGGTTGCTGTGAGCTGTGATGTCATAGCACTCAACTGAGGGTGACAAAATGAGACTCTGTCTCTAAACAAAACCAAAACAAAACAAAACAAAAAAACACAATGTTTCATCATTTTTTAGGAAGAAAGTCTTACTGTGCTATCTAGATTCAATTTTAAGATTATTTAGAAACCTTAAGTTCATAAAAATTAATTTTGGTCCAGATCATAAAACCACAATAAATTATTCAAAATATATAATATAGCCTTTTCTTTAGTTCTGAATGTGATGAAATACTTTTTTTGCTAACCCAAACACAAAGAATATAATTATAGGGGTAGTGCCTATGGCTCAGTGAGTAGGGCGCTGGCCCCATATACCGAGGGTGGCGGGTTCAAACCCAGCCCCAGCCAAACTGCAACAAAAAAATAGCCAGGCATTATGGCGGGTACCTGTAGTCCCAGCTTCTCCAGAGGCTGAGGCAAGAGAATTGCCTAAGCCCAGGAACTGGAGGTTGCTGTGAGCTGTGACGCTGCAGCACTCTATGGAGAGTGACAAAGTAAAACTACATCTCCCAAAAAAAAAAAAAAAAAAAAGGAATATTATATAAATATACATGTATTATATTTATAAATGTATTGAATTTTCAGGCTAAAGAAAAATACTCTTGCAACATAATAACCTTATTGAATAAAGTGACAATAAGACAGAACAAATAGATACATTTGACTTACTTTGAATCAAGAAGTTCCAATGCAGTCAGTGGGTGCAATGGAGGCCACTGATAAAGCAATGAGTAAGTTTTTGCAAGATTAACCCATTTCCAGTTTGGGGCACTCGCTAGTATTTTAGGAAGACAATTTGCATATTTGAAGCAATAACATCGTTTCTCCCACAAAAAAGCTTTATCTTCCTTAGAAAGTCTGCAAATGTAATAGAATTAAATTACTTCTCAGTGATATCATGATTAAAAACACAAAGAAGAAATGTATTCATTTAGGTTAGCCATTTATTGGTAGAATCATTAATACTAATTTGGAACAGAAAAATGCAATGTACAGCAAACACCACTAATTCACCCTAATTTGAGGATGGAAAGAAATCATTCTGCTTTGATAAAAGAGCCTTAGTAAGGAAAATTAAGGATAATTCAGTACAATAAAAATTCACTGGCTTGACGCCTGTGGCTCAAGTGGCTAAGGTGCCAGCCACATACACCTAAGGTGGCGGGTTTGAATCCAGCCCGGACCTGCCAAAACAACAATGACAGCTGCAACCAAAAAATAGCCGGGCATTGTGGCAGGCACCTGTGGTCCCAGCTACTTGGGAGGTGGAGGCAGGAGACTCGCTTGAGCCAGGAGTTGGAGGTTGCTGTGAGTTGTGATGCCACAGCACTCTACCCAGGGGGACAGCTTGAGGCTCTGTCTCAAAAAAAAAAAAAAAAAAATCCACTGAACTCTTGCCAGATGCCAGGCACTAGAAATGAGTGTTGAAAAAGCAGATCCTGCTCTTCCTCCCTGGCTGCCTGACAATCACCCGCCATCATGAATGACACAGTAACTATCCGGACCAGAAAGTTCATGACTAACCGACTACTTTAGAGGAAAAAAAATGGTCATTGATGTCCTTCACCCTGGGAAGGCAACAGTACCAAAGACAGAAATTAGAGAAAAACTAGCCAAGATGTACAAGACCACACCCGATGTCATCTTTGTATTTGGATTCAGAACTCACTTTGGTGGTGGGAAGACAACGGGTTTTGGCATGACTTATGATTCCTTGGATTATGCAAAGAAAAATGAACCCAAACATAGACTTGCAAGGCCTGGCCTGTATGAGAAGAAAAAGACATCAAGAAAGCAGCAAAAGGAACGCAAGAACAGAATGAAGAAAGTCAGGGGCACCACAAAGGCTAATGTTGGTGCTGGCAAAAAGTGAGCTGTAGATTGCATAACAGGCGAAGGAGTAAAGACTCTACCGTGATGTTAGCTGCAGCCATTGTATAGATTTTTCACAGGAGGATTAATAAAGACTTTTCATGTGAAAAAAGAAAAAAAAGAAAAAGCAGATCCTACCCCAAGAAACAGTAAGAATTTTATCCACTGCATACAAGTAAAATCAAATGCCATATAAAAAAATGCTACTAAAAACTTTAAAAGATGATTATACAGTTCAATTCAGGAATATTCAAAATGAAAAGGACTTGCTTTAAAGATTATATTTGTTTTAAGCTTACTGACAGACATTTAAAACCCTTCACTATTTTACTACCTACTCATCCATTTTAATATGCATATATATAAAATTCATGCACTAAGGCTGGACTCATGCCTGTAAGCCCAGCACTTTGGTAGGCCAAGGCAAATTGCTTGAGGCCAGGAGTTCAAGACTAGCCTGGGCAACAGATTGAGATCCCATCTTTCTTTTGTTTTTTGCAGCAGAAGAGACCCCATGTCTTTAAAAAAAAAAAAAGGCGCAGAAATGTATTCATGTGGAGTACTCAGAAAAGTCAAATACTGCAAAAGGTACAAAGTAAATTCTCTCTCTTTCCAATTCCCCTCCCCAGAAGCTACCACCTAAGCCTGTGTATTCTTCCAGAACTTCTATTCATACAGAAGGATATGCATGGACATACACACATTCCTTTTTCCTTTATGTTCATGGTAATAAATTATATACACTATTCTGATTCTTGTTTCCTTCATTTAACATATCTTACATATTAGTGATATAGCTATAACCTCATACGTTTTCTTTATTTTTTAATCACAAGGTCTCACTTTTTTTGCCCAGACTAGAGGGCAGTAGAATGATCGTATCTCACTCATTGTAGCCTTGAGCTCCTAGGCTCAAGTGGTCCTGCCTTAACATCTAGAGTAGCTGGGACTACAGGTGCCCACCACAACACCAAGCTAATTTTTCTATTTTTAGTAGAGATGGGGTCTCACTTTTGCTCAGGCTAGTCTCAAACTCCTGAGCTCAAGTGATCCAACCACCTTGCCTCCAAAAATGCTAGGATTACAGTTGTGAGCCATCATGCTCTGTACTAAGCTCATTTTTAATGGTTACATAGTCTTCCATTAGATAAATGTACCATAACTTAACCTCTGCTGACAGACTTTTCCAACTCGTTTTTCAGTAATCCAAATAAATACTGCAACAGACATTTTTGTCTCTATAAAAAAATATGAAAGAATTTTCTCTACTCTGTGTTCCTGGAAGGGCCATTGATGGGTCACAGAATATATACATTGCAATCTTTATAGACCTGCCTGTTCATCCTTCCTCTCCTTTACCCCTGAATAGTTGATCTTAATCTTATTAATATGACAATGTTCTTTATAGATTTAAATTAATCTATTGATATTTATTCCAAATACATCTCCCAGTCTGTTGTGTACCTTTTGATCAAGTATGAAGTTTGACTTGTCCAATTTTCTAAACTTTTAGAAAATCATCGTCTTTTTATATAATTAATAGAATAAGTTGAATAAAAAACGTTCCACACCAAAAGTGCTGATAAATCACTAAATCAGGGCATTTAACATAAGCCTTTAACCTGACCTTTCCATTATAGGAAATACCCAGGCAAAAGAGAATACACAGAGCATACCCAAGTGATGAGTCTCTCTGAAGAATATCAAGAAGTTTCTCCTTTATATCATTCTCCAGTGTTTCTAAGTTGTGTGGTTGTATAATGCTTCTGTCAACTTGAGGAGTTGTATAAATAATATCAAATGTAGGAGAAGGAAAATCAACCTTAAAAATTTAACAGAATTTGATCAAATTGTAGTCCATATATCTGCCACATTAACTTCTGTAAGAAAATTGATTTTTCTTAGCAATCAGGGTGGAGTTTACGTTGAATATTAAAGTAATACTTATCTTCTTCTTGAAAGTGATTACCATTGTTGGGAATTCTCAACAGCACATATATATTTTTTGGGATGGGTACAGTGTGTTTGATTGTTTTTTCAGAAATATTAATATTTAAATATAAGACAGATCCTGATATTAAAACAAGGTCAATTAGGTTTCTTTAGTAACAACCCAAATCATGGTATATATACACACACTTCTTAAAAAGAAACTTATTTTTATTTTATTTATTTTCATTTATTTATTTTTTGAGACAGTATAACTATGTCACCCTACGTAGAGTGCTGTAGTGTCACAGCTCACAGCAATCTCAAACTCTTGGGCTTAAGCAATTCTCTTGCCTCAGCCCCCCAAGTAGCTGGAACCACAGGCGCCTGCCACAACACCTGGCTATTTTTTGGTTGTATTTGTCATTGTTGTTTGGCAGGCCCGGGCTGGATTTGAGCCTGCTAGCTCTGGTGTATGTGGCTGGTGCCTTAGTCGCTTGAGCTATAAAAACTTCAAGGCGCCAAGCCTAAAAAGGAGTTTAAATTCAAACATTTCAATATGTCAAGAAGTAGCATTACCTGTAGCACTATCCTTTCCATGATATAGCCTTTTCTGGGTACTGTTCCAGGAATAGAATTTGTATGCGATGAAGTCCAAAGATAGAGAAGTTTAGTTCCACATGTTAAAAACCTTCAAGAATATTAAAAAAAAAAAAAAAAAAGTGATTTTCATTTTAAAAATTCAAAATTTACAATACATGGTAATGAATTTGTAATGTCAGTATTCCACACACTAAATAAAAAGTATCTTTAAGAATGTATCAGAAAGGAGTCACTCCCCATATCGTAATGAGATTTTAGGTAAACAAATCTGAAGTGTGGGGTAGGAACAAAGAGAAAGACTAAAATAGATGTATCTTGAGAGGAATGGTGCCAAGGACCGAATACAAGAAAGGTAAAGATTCAGAACACAACGTCCATAAACAGGAAGGTGAAGGGTAGTCTTTGAAGAGTCTGTACAAAGAATATACCTCAAGGTGGTGGTGTGGATTGCAGAACTGCTTTCTGACTTGTACCATCAGAACAAAAACACATGCCAAGAAAACTGCTACCTACTTTGTGGCAAAGCAGCTATCATTTTAGATGAGAAGTTGCTACCAGGGATTAGCAAACTTTTTCTGTAAAGGGACAGACTGTAAATATTTTGACTTTGTGGGCCATAGTCTCTGCTTCCTACTATATAACAAAAGTGGCAAAGGGTGATGGTTCTCTAACTAAGCAAAGAGTCCTGGTTCTTTCAAGATCAAGATTTGCAGAACTGATTTACTCATAAAAATTAATGATCATGATGAAGTTATATTTAATTTCACACCAAAGGAAGTTGAGAATGGAACCTATGGTGTCAGTATATTCTGCCTTAAATTATGGATTCTATTTAGCAAAAGGTATTTTTTTAGAGACAGAGTCTCACTTTGTCACCCTTGGTAGAGTGTTGTAGCATCACAGCTCACAGCTCACAGCTCACAGCAACCTCCAGCTCTTGGGCGTAGGTGATTCTCTTGCCTTAGCCTCCCGAGTAGGTGGGACTACAGGTGCCCGCCACAACCCCCAGTTTTGTTTTTTTTTTTTGCAGTTTTTTTTGGCCTAGGTGGGGTTTGAACCCACCACCTCTGGTATATGGGGCCGGCACTCTACTCACTGAGCCATAGATACCATTCCTTAGCAAAAGGTTTTAAATAGACACCATTAATAGTAATTTCTTCAACTGCTTTTCTCTAGCCCGTGACAAAATTATGTCAGAATTATGACAGGTGGCAAAAAGAATTATGTCAGGTGGCAAAAAGTCTTATACTGTCTCCTCAAATATGGAGGAGAATTTTCTTTTAATGCAAAAAGAATTATGTCAGGTGGCAAAAAGTCTTATACTGTCTCCTCAAATATGGAGGAGAATTTTCTTTAAATTTTCTTTTAAAAGAAAAGAAAAATATGACAAATATATGAATAAATACTACACTCACATACGTGACATACATGGGAAAAGGCTATTTTAAGAAAAAAATTTATAAAGTCAGCGTTTTTGAACCTCACATGATTTTAATAAATTACTACAAAATAGATGTTTGCTATTTATTAAAAAAAAAGGAGAACTTGATTAGCACTATTTTTTTCATTCATTTTTTTTTTCTTAAGAGACAGGGTCTTTCTTGGTTACCCAGGCTGGATTGCAGTGGCACAGCTGTAACTCACTTCAGCCTTGTACTCACAGGTTCAAGCGATCCTCCTGCCTTCACCACCGTTACAGGTCTGAATTTTTTCATTCTTAATATTTGTTTTACCTTATTTATTTATTTATTTATTTATTTTTGAGATAAGGCCTCTCTATGTCACCCTGGCTAGAGTGCAGTGGCTTACTGCAACCTCAAACTCATGGGCTTCTGCCTCAGCCTCCTGGGTAGCTGGGTCTATAGGTGCATGCCACCACACCAGGCTAATTTTTCTATTTTTTTTTTATAGAGACAGGGACATACTCTTGCTTCAGCCTGAGCAAGAGTGAAACCCTGTCTCTATAAAAAGAGAAAAGTTCCTGACCTCAAGCAATTCTCGCACGTCAGCCTCTCAGAGTGCTAGGATTACAGGTGTGAGGTGATTACAGGTGGATTAAATAGATCCATTATTAAATCATTTCCCAAACTGTCCCATGGAACAAAGTTATTCCAAAAGATATATTCTAGAACAATAAAAAAGTGTCATCTGGCAGCACCCATAGCTCAGTGGGTAGGGTGCCAGCCATATACACCAAGGCTGGTGGGTTCGAACCTAGCCTGGGCCAGCTAAACAACAATGACAACTGCAACAAAAACGTAGCCAGGTGTTGTGGTGGTGCCTGTAATCCCAGCTACTTGGGAGGCTGAGGCAAGAGAATCGCTTAAACCCAAGAATTGGAAGTTGCTGTAAGCTATGACATCACAGTACTCTACCCAGGGTGACAGCTTGAGACTCTGTCTCAAAAAAAAAAAGAAAAAAGAAGTGTCATAGTATCAAGTAAGTTTGAGAACATCAATATACTTTAACAGTTAAGAACACAGACCCTGGGTGGCACCTGTGGCTCAAAGGAGTAGGGCGCCAGCCCCATATGCTAGAGGTGGTGGGTTCAAACCCAGCCCTGACAAAAAAAAAAAAAAAAACCACAGACCCTGTAGCCAGACTACCTGCTTCAGATATCATTTCCACCACTTACTAGCTAAGTATCCTGGGGAAAGTCACTTAATCTCTGTACTTTGATTTCTCCCTCTGTAAAAGAGTATAATAACACCACCTACTTCACAAAGCAGTTGTGAAGAATATAGAATATGTGTACAGCACTCAGACGAATACTTCATACACAGTAAGTGGAGTAAGTGGTATGTGTTTGTTATTACAGTAAATATAATGTTCTAAAACAGATAAATAGCCTTCTTGACTAGAGAACTTTAGGGATGCTTTAATATGGTAATATGCACCATCTCCAGAATGTTCCTATATACTGAACGGAACATGTCCCAAACTTACTCAATTGCTTTTTTTTTTCATTTAGGAAGAACATTCCTCATCTCATGGAACCTATTGTTACTTGGAACATATTAAAACATTCAGCAGAAAGGCCAGATAGATACACTATCCCATTAACTATTAATTGACACAAAGCTCAAAAAGAACTCCTTTACCACCAAGGATAAGGGAAAGAATCCCTCAACAGGTGTCTGAACTCATGTGGAACCTCTGTAAATTGAAGACCACGGGCTGTGGTAGTAAGGGATAGATTTATAGGCAGAGAGAATCAAGGAAGGGAATAATGTTCAGCTGTAGATTCTCTGAACCAGAGAAGAAAGAGATGAGAAGAGAAAAAAAGGAATTTATTTTATTAATCTCAAGAGAACCTATAAGATCATGAGTCATGGCTCAAGCGGCTAAGGCGCCAGCCACATACACCTAAGGTGGCGGGTTCGTATCCCCAGCCCGG